CTTAGGGACTAATTTGGGTTTGGGGTTTAGGCTCAGGGCTTAGGGCTTGGGGCTTGGGGCTTAGGGCTTAGGGTTTAGGGTTAGGGTGAAGAATGTGGTGTGTAGAGTGTGGGGTTTCGGGGCTTAGGTTTTGGAGAATAGCTTACAGGGCGTAGGGTTGGGCATAGAGTTTGGATGCAAGGTTAGGCTGTAGAGTGTGCGCAAAGGATATATAAATACATTACATATATATATATATATATATGTATATGTATATATATATATACATCTATAGGGTTCAGGGTCTGGGCTTTCTAGTGCTTGGGGGAGAGTGTTTGGGGGCCTCGAGTCCAGGGAAGAGTTTAAGTGCTGGCAGTGGAGACCGCATGGCTCATCCCTGGACTGGGTTTAGGGTTTAGGGTTTAGGGTTTAGGGCTTAGGGCTTAGGGCTTAGGGCTTAGGGCTTAGGGTTTAGGGTTTAGGGTTTCGGGTTTAGGGTTTCTTAGGGTAAGCTCATGGTCCCTTAGTCTGGGCCCTTAAATGGGGACCCCCAGGGCTTAGGGTTTAGGGTTCAGGGTTTAGGGTTTAGGGTGGTTTGGGGTAGGTACTTGGTATGGGTCCTTAAATGGGGACCCCTTATTTATATATATATATATACCCTCACCAAGTGAAGGGCCCAAGTATCAGAACCCTTTAAAGGAGGCAAGGGACCATCTTAAGGGCTCATGAAACTACCCTTGACCCTTAAAGATCTAGACCCAAGAGGAACCTAGGAATCAAAAGGGTGCCCTCTTTTGGTTAACAGGGAGAAGATTCAGGGGACCCTAAAAAAACAGGCTTCGTTTGGCGACGCCCTACCAGGTTTGGAGTTCGGGACTTTGAGACTTAGGGCTTTGGGAGGTTTAGGGTTTAGGGTTTAGGGATTAGGGTTTAGGGTTTAGGGTTTAGGGGGTTTAGGGTTTGGGGTTTGGGGTTTCGAGTTTAGGGTTTAGGGTTTAGGTTGTTAAGGACTTCGTGACTTCGAGGCTGAAGGAGCCTAGGGCTTTGGCTTGTAGCTCTTGGGGCATGGCTTGGTGGTGACTTCAGGCCCTCGTCGTAGCTTGGAATAGGGTTTAGGGGTTTAGGGTTTAGGGTTTAGGGTTAAGGGTTTAGGGGTTTAGGGTTTAGGGTTTAGGGTTTAGGGTTTAGGGTTTAGGGTTTAGGGTTTAGGGTTTAGGGTTTAGGTTTAGGTTTAGGGTTCGGTTCAGATCTTCAAGGCCTTACAGCGCAACACCGCTCCTCGCAGCTACCCCCAATGCTCAAGGCAGGTGCCCTCCCTTAAGGGTTGGTTTGTGTTAAAGCCCTCTGAATACTTGGTAGCCCAGGAACCATGTTAGACTAAGGGCACCCTTTTGGGGTTGGTTTCTTCATAGGGGAACCCACAACCCAAAAGGAGTAAAGGGTGAAACTGGGCTACCAAGGATATGATCCTCTTAAACCCTGCTTTATTGAGAAGACATAACGGACCCTAAGGTCCTACCTCCCTACAAGGAACTCTTAACTTTGAATCGAGTTGTTTATACTCAAGTAGCCCAAAAATAGCCCTTTTAAACCCAAATTGAGTAGGGGGGGGGGAAGGAAGGAAGGCCCTGCTTGAAGCCCTAGAAAAAGAACTGCAAAAGAACCCTAAACCCTAAACCCTGAATCCTAAACCCTAAAACCTAAACCCTAAACCCTAAGAAGGCGAGTCGCCATGCCGTGGGTCATAGGCTTTCTGCAGCTTCACGTAGACGTGGTTGCCTGCTCGACACTTTAGGCTCTTGGGGCGAGCGCCAAAGTAGGAGCGCCAAAGCTGGAAACCGGAACCTGTGTTAAAGCTCGGTTTCGGGACAAGGGCCCGGAGCTTAGGGTTTAGGGCTCAGGGTTGTGGTGAAGGGCATACTGCTCAAGGCGGAATTTTCCTTCAGGTACCGAGCCGCCCCCAAACGCCCCCAGCGACCTAGACTCAACATGTCTCAGGAGCTATAGAGGCCGCCTAAACCCCCAAACCCTGAACCCTTAAAACCCCTGAGCCCCAAACCCTGGACCCTAAACCCTTTGCCTGAACCCCAAACCCTAAACCCTGAAAACATGGCAACCTAAAAGCTGGAACCCTGAGCCGCCTAAAAAGGTGACAGAATATGTGCTGCAGCCTGAGACTTGTTTCGGGTTTAAGGGTTTAGGGTTAGGGTTTAGGGTTTATTGTTCAGGGTATAAAGGGCTCCTGGAGTTTAGGGTCTTGAGCGTGTTGGGGCTTGGCTCACAGCCAGAGAGCTTTGCCTACTACATCCTTGCTTTGTGAGGGAGTAGGGGGCAGAAGAGAGGCTTTGCGGGATTTTTCCTCAAATTTTGTACTAGCTTGCAGGGCTTGGGGGGGGGGGGGGGGGGGGGGGCAAAGGGGGGGGGGCAAAGGGGGGGGGGGCAAAGGGGGGGGGCAAGGGGGGGGGGGGGGCGCCGACATTGTGTCAGTGTTTTTGCTCTTCCGCGTGCTCGGTGACCTTAGCAGGTCAAAGCGGCAAGCTTTGGCCCCTCCTGTAGTGCTATACATGAGATCTCCAGGCACTCGTCCCCAATCTAGCGAACTCGTGCCTGAACAAAACTATACTCCCCTCAGAACCTTCATAAAAAAACACTACGTTCTTATTCCCTTGGGTTTATATAAATAAAAACAATCCTAGGTTACTCTTTAATTACTCCCTTGGTTTATATATATATATATACATATATATATATATATAAGCAATTCCTCAGGGGGCTTTTTCAAACGGCTGGAACTCGGCGGCTGTGCAAGCCGAGCTCCGTAGCAAAAGAGACCCCGCCGATTGGGCAATCGGCGGCTATAGCAGCTGCGTGTGCAGACGTGCAGCGCTCGAGCCTCAGTTGCTAGGGTTTAGGGTTTAGGGTTCAGGGTTTAGGGTTTAGGGTTTAGGGTTTAGGGCTACGAGACCCAGGAGAAACCTAGGAATCGAAAGGGTACCCTTTTTGGTTTGAAGGGGTTCAGAAGGGAACCTAAACCCTAAAAAAAGGAAATCAGGGCCTACTCTGGGTCCTAGGTTCTGATGCACTAGATGACCCCGCAACACTTGGGTTTCAGGCTGACGCTGCAGGCGTAGGGAGCACAGGAACCCTGCGAACACACTTTGGACACTCCCTGCCCCAAGTCCCACAGTTTCGACCTTCCCTGTATTCAGAATTCTTGCGCATCCGCTGCCCAGCAGCCAGAGCGTTCACGGGCGACATGGTCCCGTTGCTCCAGCCGAACGGTGTGAATTAACGAAGGGCGTGCCTTGCGGAGGGCTTCGGATTTGGGCGCAAGGGTTAGAAGGATTCAAGACATGCAAGTCAGGCTCAGGATTTCCAGAGTTGCAGAGATGCAGGTTCAGAATGCATTCGTTCTTGCATGGCACCTCTCCATATAAAGGGCCCATGTAGCCACCCTTAGATTGGTTTACAGTGTAGCGCATCATCTTTCCTGCTCCTTCATGCCCTCGACCTGCAGCCCTGCTTAGCAACCAAGCACGTCACCGCCCCCCACCCCCCTTCCACCAGCCTCCATGGCAGCCCTGGCTATGCGATAACTGCCTTTGGAAGGAGATGTGTGGAGGGTGTTACGCCAGGTTTGAGGTCCACTTTCAGTTTGTAAAGTTGACCTAAGCCCTAGACCCGACACGAAACCCTCCGCCAGAGACTTCGATTCTAAGGCCCCCGGTAAGTAGAAGGGATGATTGCCCGAGCTGTTCGGGTGTGTTTTGCTAGCATAGGAGCTTGTGGTACCTTTTGGCCTACCTAACAAGGTTCCCCACCATCAAGTCGGCCCTAAACCCCAAATCCTAAACCCTCAGCCCTAGAAACCCCCCAACCCTAATCATCCAGTCAGCTTCGTAGCGAAACCCGACTCCCCTGCTTCCAACCCCACCACCAAAAAACACGCACATATATATATATATATATATACATACATATATATATATATATATATATATATATATACCTCTAACATGTAATGTAATGCAATGTGATGTGATGTAGTGTAATGTAATGTGATGCGATGTACTGTATTGTGATGCGATGTAATGTAATGCAATGTAATGTGATGTAATGCAATGTATGACACAATCAGAACATAGCTAGTAACAATGGTGTGTATGCAACAAGCAGAACTTGACCAGCCACACTACTAGCAAATAAGAATTCGTCTGAAAACAACGACAAGAATGACAATGCGACTAAAGTGCGACTTCAAAGCAGTCGATCTAAGTGTCGTTTAGCGTTTAGCGACTAAAGCCCCGGGAGGTTCTTGTAGTATATATTTATAGAGACCCTAAAGGAATATATTTTTATAGAGACCCTAAAGGAATATATCTTTATAGAGACCCTAAAGGAATACCATTCGTAATTCTTCCGACCCCAATATATATCGCTTCATCATTAGGGCTCAGAATTCGCCAAGACTCCCGGGCAAGCAGCCTTTCTCAACCCTAGGCTTCCGCTTAAAAAACCCTCTGGATAGGATTATTAGGTTTGGGGTTTAGGGTTTAGGGTTTAGGGTTTAGGGTTTAGGGTTTAGGGTTTAGGGTTTAGGGTTTAGGGTTTAGGGGGACCCTTGGGGATATCGACCCTCTGAATAAGGTCCCTGTTTAAGAGAGCCAGAAGAGGGTTCAGAAGGGTTCCCTTCTAAGGGTCCCCTTTATCGTACCTAGGACCCTCTACCTTCAACTTGCGAAGGAATCCCAAACCCGCAACCCAACCCTCAACCCTCAAATCCATAAACCTCTCAAAAGCCCAGATTAGGTTCACAGAGGCAGCCTCTTCTCAATAGGAAAATCCGTGCCCCGATACGAAGTAGGTCTTATGAAGGCTATTTCTGTTGTGGAGGCCTTGTAGCCTTACACCCCGAACCCTCAACCCAAATCCTACATCCCATAAGCCCTAGCAAGCACATAAGAAGTATGCAAAACCTGCAAAGCCTCCAAACCCTACTGAGTCAACCAGCGGCCTGTGCTTTACAGCTCCCACTTCTCAAACGTGGGGGAAGTGGAGGCCGCTGAACGCGTCTTTGCCTCACAGCTGCTTAGGGTTTAGGCTTTAGGGTGGCACAACCCAACACCCTAAACCTCACGCACTCCGCCCTTTCAGGGGTTTGGAGTTTAGGGTTTAGGGTATCAAGCTCTGAAAATCAGGGTCTCGCAGCAAGCTTTGCAGCCTAGGATGACCAAAAATCAAACCTTCGGCTGAAAACTTCAGGCGGATTCAGGTTTTTTGTATTTTTACCGGGGGGGGTTTCAGTTTCAGGGGTGTTGAAATTTAGCCACAAGCCCCACAGCCGCAACCCCAACTCAGTTCCTCGTCCTCCGTCCACCCCTAACAACACGACCCAACCCTATTAAACCCTAAGCCCTAAGCCCTGCACCCTAAACCCCAAAACCCTAAACCCCAACATCCTAAACCCTAAACCCTAAACCCTAAACCCTAAAACCCTAAACCCAGTCCAGCCTTGGACTGCATGAAGCTTGGACCCAAAAACCTGCTGCGGCGGCCGCCCCGTTTCTTGGCCGCGGCTTGGGCGAAGGCGGCCTCTGGCTGGCCTCGGTTGGGTTTAGGGTTTAGGGTTTAGGGTTTCAGGTTTAGGGTTTAGGGTTTAGGGTTTAGGGTTTAGGGTTTAGGGTTTAGGGTTTAGGGTCTAGGGTCTAGGGTCTAGGGTTTAGGGTTTAGGGTTCAGGGTTCAGGTTTTAGGGTTCAGGGTTCAGGGTGGGCTTGAGGCGTTAGGGTTTAGGTTTAGGTTTCAGGTGGGATTTGGGGTTTGAGGTGTAGGGCTTCGTGGGCCAAACTGAGCCGAACCGGTACATGGTTTAGAACCTTGCTGCGAAGGGGACATAGGATAGCGACCAGCACGGCTCAGCTGAACACAATGGGCACATGTTCGGTACCCTAAGCGCCAAGGAAACCGAAAATGCCTCAATGCTTGGCTGGGTTGTGCTTTAAACCTTTTCAACATGTTTCCTCTGGTTTGCAAAGGTTCCGTCGTACATAATTGTAAGAATTGGAGACTAAGAATGCATGTACATGTATAATATGTATATATGTGTGTGTAGACATATGGATGTATTATGTGTATATATAAATATGTATATGTATGTATGTGTATAGAAAATAAAATTATTTATTCATCCACCACGCACAACCCAGTTGACATCCGGAGGGCATTGAGAATACCACTCGTTGTCGACGACGCAGCGGTGGCCCTCCACGCAGCAAGTGGGGCCGGCATGGTTGCGCCCACCGCCTTGGGTGCAAGTAGTCGAAAACGCCATGACAACTATCCTCCACTATGCTGTGCATACTTTTCAAGGCCCTGTGTAAACTTTCTGGGAAAGCGGGGGGAGGGGGGGAGGGGCGGGGCGGGGTCTAGGTTGCGGGGTCGTGCAAGTAAACACCAAACAATGAACCCCTAGAGATTTAAGCTCTCAAAACCTCACGCCCCAAACCTGCTGCAAAGTTGCACTGTTGCCAGGCGCTGGCGCATGAAGTGGGCGCTGTTGTTGCCGGTGCCGTCGTGGTGGCCACCGTGGTGGTGGCCTCTGTCGTGGTGGCCGTCGTCGTGGTGGTTGCAGTGCCTTCGTGGCTCGAGAGCTTGGGGTTTTCTAGCATCTCCATCAGGTTGGAAGCACTAGACCCCCGACTCTCACTCTCTTAGGCCCTACCACCACCCCACTTAGAACCACGGAATAAAAGACACAATCCCCAAGAGGCACTACAACCACACAATCCCAAGTTGCCACACCTACAAGTCGAACACAAAGCCCGGCAAAGCAAGCCATACGCCCTAAATCCTCAACCCTAAAGCCCAGGAACCCAAAACCCTGAAGCCCTAAACCCCAAACCCCTATTACCCTAAGACCTTTGAACCCTCAAACCCTAACACCCTACAGCCCTAAAGCCCCAAACCCCAAAACCCTAACACCTTTAAACCCTAGAACCCTAAAACCCTAAGACCTTTAAACCCTAGAACCGTAAATCCTGAAGACCTTTAAACCCTTGAACTAAGACCTTCAAACCCTAGAAGGCTCAAAACTCTAAGACCTTTAAACCCTAGAACCCTCAAACCCCAGGACCTTTAAACCGTAGAACTAGAACCCTAGAACCCTAGAACCCCAGAACCCCAGAACCCCAGAACCCTGTAAACTTGAACCCTACAACCCGAGAACCCCAAAACCCTCGAAAACCCTCGAAAACCCTCGAAAACCCTCGAAAACCCTAAAGCCTCTAAACTTTTTAGCGGCGCAAGGGACTAGGTGACTGGGTGCTGCTGGCCGGACTCTGGTAGCTGAGGCATGTGAAGCCTGGTCGAGCACCCTAAGCCCTAAACCCTAAACCCTAAACCCCAAATCTTAATTTAGGGTTTGGGGGTTCAGGTTCTAGGGACTCGGGTTGTTGGGTTCGGGTTTTTGTTTTGGAGGTTTGGTTTTCTTTGGGGGGGGGGGGGGGTTCGAGGTTTCGGGGGTTTGGGGTTCGGGGGTTAGTGGTTAGGTGTTTCGGAGTTCGGCTTCGAAAACGACTCATGTTTTGTGACGATTTCTAGAGCGGATAGACACGATCCAGTCGGCTCGTGTCTGGGAAGAGGCATTGAGACCACATTCTGTTTGTCAGGGATTTGGGCTGCAGGAACCCTGAAACCTTACAGCCCCTTCCCCGAAACAAATAGCAACGCCAATCACCCAAAACACCCTAGCATAGGGGCTTTGATGAATAAGAATGGGGTTTGGGGGAGTTATTATAGTATAATTACCAAGACACCATAGGGGAATACCATTAGCCATTATTCCGACCCTTATATTAGGGGCCAGTTTTGCTTCTTTCTTGGCAGGGCCTAAACCCTAAACCCTAAACCCTAAACCCTAAACCCTAAACCCTAAACCCTAAACCCTAAACCCTAAACCCTAAACCCTAAACCCTAAACCGGGCGCCTGACAGCGGGATGGAGGCGCCAATGCCCTGGGGCCTCGTCCACACCTCGCAGCGGCCGATTTTGAACCTCGGGGGAAGGGCGGGTTCAGGGTTTAGGGTTTAGGGTTTAGGGTTTAGGGTTTAGGGTTTAGGGTTTAGGGTTTAGGGTTTAGGGTTGAGGGTTGAGGGTTGAGGGTTGAGGGTTTAGGATTTAGGGCATGGTGGTTGAGCTTCGGGAGCCTTTCCTTGAAAACATATCTTTCAATAGTTCTTTAGCGTATATACAAGCATGGGGCTACCCGAAGCCCTAAACCCTAATCCCCAAACCCCAAACCCCAAACCCTAAACCCTAAACCCTAAACCCTAACCCGAAATTAAACCCAAACTCCGGGCACCTTGCGTTCAACTGAAGGCTCGATCCTACTTGGGGCCTGAAGGAACCCTAAAAGGGTTTCTATGGTCCACATACCTTCAGAGTGGTGATGTATATACATGTATACCCTAAACCCTAAACCCTAAACCCTAAACCCTAAACCTTGAACCCTAAACCCCGAACCCTAAACCCTAAACCCTAAGCTCTACCGAAACTTAGGGCTCATTTGTGGTCCCAAGGCAAGCAGTTTCCGTGATGGGTCACAGGACTCCCAGAGCCTCGCGCACACGCAGGTATCTAGAGTTTAGAGTGTAGGTTTAGGGTATGGGGTTTAGGGTTTAGGGTTTAGGGTTTAGGGTTTAGGGTTTAGGGTTTAGGGTTTAGGGTTTAGGGTTTAGGGCTAGGAGTTTCTTTAACGCACAACCTGGAGGGAAGACCCAGAACCTCGTGGAGACCTGAAGACTCGTACTCGGGCCAGGATGCTCCACTCCCTTGCAGCCTGTCATGGCCTGGCACTGCGCCTGGGCCAGGCTGCATAGCTAGGGTTTAGGGTTTAGGGTTTAGGGTTTAGGGTTTAGGGTTTCGGGTTTCGGGTTTAGGGTTTAGGGTTTAGGGTTTAGGGCACCATTGTAGCTGAAGAGTGGGCATGTAAGGAGGCCGGTACCAATCCCCTAATGCCGATACAGCCCCAAACACTAAGCTGCCCCAAACAACTTTCAAATCAACTAGGTACCTACACTGAGCTTTTTGTGGTTCAGAGCACCCCCGCCCCCCACCCTAATTAGACACTTGGACGCATGTCTCAACCCCTTGATCTCCTGGAGTCCTTAACAAACATGGGGGTTTCCGAAAAAAGGGGTACCTTCTGGTGGGGTCCCTCTAAGGGGATTCTATTTGCAAGGGGGTACGCCTATTTTGGGAAATGCTGACATAACTAGCTGTCTTGCCCTTCCCTTTCAACATCCTTGCCCCAGGGGTTTAGCGTTTAGGGCTCAGCGCTGAGAGTTTAGGCTCCATTCGAGGTCCTAGGCCCTTGGGGCCCTTGAGGGTTTAGAGTGCGGCATATGAAAAGAGACAACCTTGGGGGGCTAGGGCTACTTGCGGTTTACAAGGTTGGGTTCAGGGTTAGGGTGTTTAGGGTTTAGGGTTTAGGGTTTAGGGTTTAGGGTTTAGGGTTTAGGGTTTAGGGTTTAGGGTTTAGGGTTTAGGGGGGATTCGGGCAGCTTGCTGGCAAGCTTCTTTGCAAGCGTCCAGGCTGACGAGGCCGGCTACGACGGTGTAGTAGTCTGGCACCAGCGCGACGCGCATTTTTTCGGAGCTTGGGGCAGGGGTTTTTACAGACAGACAGACAGACAGACATACATACATACAGACATACATACATGCATGCATGCATGCATACATACACACATATATGCATATATATATATATAGTTGCCTCCTTAGGGATTGATTAGGGAAGGCTACTAAAGACAGGCAACTTTGAAAGCAAAACCAGCTGTTGTTCAAGGCCCTAAGCCAGCCTCTTTTGGTGTCACTGCTTTTGTGTCTGAGGTCTGTGGCGTAGCATCCCCACTCCGTGAGAACGAAGCTTTGGGGCTTGGTAGCCCTGGAACCATATTCATATTTTTGGGGTTATTGTAAAGGGAACCTAGAACCAACAAAAAGGCAAAAGGGCACCACTGGGGCCTAATGGCCAACAACTCAATTCCGACGCAAGGAACTCGATAATGCTCTTCTCTTCCAACCCCACCAAGAAGCCCGAAGCTCTAGAGCCCTAAGTCCCAAACCCCAAACCCTAAACCCCAAACCCTAAACCCCAAACCCTAAACCCTAAACCCCAAACCCTAAACCCTAAACCCCAAACCCTAAACCCCAAACCCTAAACCCCAAACCCGGAACCCCCAAACACCAAACCCAAAAGGCCCTGAACCCCACTGCCCCCGGAATGGCCTGGGGAGTTGTCAACACGAGAGGCACCACGGCAGGCGCGACCATCGCCGCCGTCCACGGGCAGCCAGGTGCCTGGTGAATGGTTTAGGGTTAGGGGTTAGGGGTTAGGGGTTAGGGGTTAGGGTTTAGGGTTTAGGGTTTAGGGTTTAGGGTTTAGGGTTTAGGGTTTCGGGTTTAGGGCTTTAGGGGTCTGAGGGTTTATGGTTCTCGGGTTTTAGGGTTTAGGGTTTTAGGGTTGTCATAGGGTTTTATGGTTTTAGGGGTTTAGGAGTTTTAGGGTTCAGAGTTTTAAGCTTTAAGGTTTCAGGTTTGAAGGGGCGCCAGAAGCCTACTTGAAGGTAGGGTCCAAAGAGCCCATTTGTACCTGTAGATACTTAGACCCCACAAAGGGTCATATAGAGTACATACTTGATGGACCCACGGGTAATCTGAGGTACCCGAGGACAATCTGGGGTTTTGGAGTTCGGGTGTTTGTAGTGCGTTAGGCAAGAACTTGGCTGCACTCAGGAGGGTAGCTATAAACTAAACTTTTAGCTGCCTGAGTAAGAAACCCAATAAACCCAAAAAGGGTAAGGATCTAAAGTTACGGTAAAGTACCACAAAGAGAAGGTCGGCGTCTTGTGTGTGAAGTTGCTGCTCAAGTGCTTAGCCGCCTCTTCTTGCCTCTAGCCAACCCTCGAGCCCCACAACCAGAACCACGATTCGAAAAAAACTAGGGTTTGGGGGTTAGGGTTTAGGGTTTAGGGTTTAGGGTTTAGGGTTTAGGGTTTAGGGTTTAGGGTTTAGGGCTAAGCAGGGCTTGTCAAGGACCGCTTCAGTACACTCCTTCCGTGGTCCCTATGCATCCTCAGCCTCAGGATCCGTAGCTTGCTACAAAGAACGTGCGCTCCGACAGGGGAAGGGGTGTAGGTGCGTTGATATATGGGCCCCTGAAACCACAGCCCTAAAACAAGTTGCAAAGCTGCCCTAAACCCTAAACCCTAAACCCTAAACCCTAAACCCTAAACCCTAAGCGCCCCCCCAAACAAGGCCGGGTTGCCCGCCGCGGGCGTTGTCGTTGACACCAGGGGGCCATCCTTGGAACCGGGGGGTTTAGGGTTTAGGGTTTAGGGTTTAGGGTTTAGGGTTAGGGTTTAGGGTTTAGGGTTTAGGGTTTAGGGTTTAGGGTTTCAGGGTTTCAGGGTTTCAGGGTTTAGGGTTTAGGGTTTCAGGGTTTCAGGGTTTCAGGGTTTCAGGGTTTCAGGGTTTCAGGGTTTCAGGGTTTCAGGGTTTCAGGGTTTCAGGGTTTCAGGTTTTCAGGGTTTCAGGGTTTCAGGGTTTCAGGGTTTCAGGGTTTCAGGGTTTCAGGGTTTCAGGGTTTCAGGGTTTCAGGGTTTCAGGGTTCAGGGTTTCAGGGTTTCAGGGTTTCAGGGTTTGAGGGTTTGAGGGTTTGAGAGTTTGAGGGTTTCAGGGTTTCAGGGTTTGAGGTTTCAGGGTTTCAGGGTTTGAGGGTTTGAGAGTTTGAAGGTTTCAGGGTTTCAGGGTTTCAGGGTTTCAGGAGGGTTTCAGGAGGGTTTCAGAGGGTTTCAGGGGGGTTTCAGGGTTTCAGGAGGGTTTCAGGAGGGTTGCAGGAGGGTTTTAGGAGGGTCACACGCTAAGCCCGAAACGTGCATCATTGAATCCCTTCAGCCACCGATGAACCCCAAAACCCTGAACCCCTCAAATCTTTTGAGCTCCTTGACAGCAACCCAGACGACTCTTCTCAGCTCAGGGTACATAGCGCATGCAGGTGAAGCCGGCCAAGGGAATGGAGGCCTGGCTGGCGCAGAGAAACACCCTATAGCACCTGGGTTTGCTGTTTAGGGGGTTTAGGGTTTAGGGTTTAGGGTTTAGGGTTTAGGGTTTAGGGTTTAGGGTTTAGGGTTTAGGGTTTAGGGTTTAGGGTTTAGGGTTTAGGTTTACTGTTTAGGGTTTAGGTTCAGTGTCGAGTTCGCGTTCATGGTGTTTTTGTCAGGGCCACCCGCGTTCTGGGAAGGCGCGAGCGTTGGCGCCGGCTCGAGACTGGGACTCCAGTTTAGGGTTTAGGGTTTAGGGTTTAGGGTTTAGGGTTTAGGGTTTAGGGTTTAGGGTTTAGGGTTTAGGGTTTTCGGCTTGGCTATAGCTTCATAGCGCGCATGGGGTCTCGGTGCGGGGCGGTCAGGCTGCATGTTAGCCTCAAATCGTAGCCACGATACAGGACCTAGGAGTATCCTATCCGGAGAGGCTGGGCTTTGGGTTACTTAGTAGTCCAGTAACCATATGATGATAAGGGCACCCTTTCTTTGGCTGGTTACTTCATAAGGGAACCAGAACAAAATACAAAGGGATAAGAGCACCACTGGGCTACCAAGCGTTAGATAAAAAAGATCTAGTCTGGTATGACGTGACGCAGGTGAACAAGGGCTGGGAGGTGCCTGTCGGAACGCAGCCTTTCCGCAACGTGGCCTGACCCTTGGGGGTTTTCTCAACCTTGATCCATAGACAAGGCCCGCAGGCACACACGCAACAGCAGCCGCAGTCAACCGCATCTCTGTTAAACAATAAATCTTCAACCCTGGCCCTATGCCCCTATTAACCTCCGAAGAGACATGAACCTTAAACCCTAAACCCTAAACCCCAAACCCTAAACCCTAACAAGCCGAACACCCTAAATCTTCAACCCTATCAGGTCCCGTGAGCCCCCAACAACCCCAAAGCATATGGTCGCCTGGATACCCATCGGCCGCACCCAGACCTGCGAAGAGAGCGATTCCCGGCCCTGGGGTTTAGGGTTTCGGGTTTAGGTTTAGGGTTTAGGGTTTAGGGTTCGTTTAGATTGGGTTTTACGAGGGCTTAGAGGCTTTGCGGCTGAGGTCTTCAGGGTTGAGGGTTTGGAGTTTAGAGGCATCATAGGGCTTACATGGGTTTAGGGTGTGTAGGGGCTCGGGGTTAAGGGGTTCAAGGTTAGTTTGGGCTTACAGGGCTTTTGGTGTTTATGGGGCCGATCGGGTTTGTAGGTTTTCGGGGTTACAAGGTTGTTTGGGCTTTTCGGGATTTACAGCTGTTGAGCTCCTGAAGCCATTCAAGTTTTTTGAACCCAAGAAACCATAAAACCTACAAGTAGGGTCGAGGGTTCAGGGATAAGGGCTTAGGGTTTAGGGTTACGGTTTTAGGGGAATTGGTTCAGGGCCGAGACAGGGCTTGTGGGCTTGACATGGCTTAGGACGCTTCAGGGTTTTTAGCAGTTGTTAGCTAGGCTGCCCAGTAACCTCGGCTTACAAAGGGTGCCCTTTTTTGCCTAAAAGGGTTTATAAGGGAACCTAAACCCCCAAAAAGGGAATAAGGGTACTACTGGGCATCCTAGTTCGCCTTACTTTTCAGGGCAGGGCTCGGTCATTTGGGGCTCGGATTGAGGGCGCCTGGGTGTAGGGTTCGGGGTTTAGGGTTTAGGGAGCTTCCCACCTGAGCAGGAAGACGAGTCACAAACCAAGAGCTCAGCAGTCCCCCTAACAGCCTAAACCCTAAACCCTAAACCCGAAACCCAAGAAGCCTTCCGAGCCTTTTGGGGCTTTTTGGGCCCTGATGCATCCGGGATTTAGGGGGGTTTAGGGTTTTTTAGGGTTTTTGGGTTTTGGGGTTTAGGGTTTAGGGTTTTTAGGGGTTTTTAAGGGTTTCTTTTAGGCTAGGTGTTTTTAGGGTTTGTTACGTTCTTTTAGGGTTTTTTAGGGTTTTAGGTTTTAGGGGCTTGGTTTGTAGGGGCTTTCTGGGCTGGCCAAGCTCAAGCGCATGGTGGCTCCTTCTTTATGGGGGGGGGGGGGGGCCCACTGAACCCCGTTGTCCTCCTAAACCCTAAACCCTAAACCCTAAACCCTAAACCCTAAACCCTAAACCCTAAGCCCTAAACCCTAAACCCTAACCAAACCCTCCTTGGGGTCTCTAGGGGAGGTGCATGCATGGACTCCTGCTTGCGGACTTTGCTGGTGGCAAATCCCAAATCATGGCCAGGCTCATGGCAAAATCAAAAATAGCCCGGGATGCTCCCCCCTTATACTCGCTTTCCTTCACCAACTATGGTAATCCCGTATAAGGAGGAACAGCCCAAATAACAGCAGCAGACCCTAAACCCTGTTAGGGACTGTTAGTGTATAAGGGGGAACAGCCCAAATAGCAGCAGCAGTTCTCGTGCAAAGAACTTGGGCAGAATCTAGGGTCCAGGAAACCGGAAAGCTGGGAAGCCAATACCGCAAAGAAGCCCACGAGCAGCTCCGCCAGAAGAAGCAAGGCGGACTTGGAGGTTCATGGGTAGTTATAAGTAGGGTTATAGGTATCCTAAAAAAGGCTATAAGTATAGTTGCCATACTTAAAACCCTACTGATAACTACCCATGAGCCTCCAACCGGAAACAGCACCCCCTAAACCCTAAACCCTAAACCCGAATCCTTCGACAGAAGGCCTCCAATACCAGACCTTAACCAGCAAGTTGCCAGAAAAACTTTACCAACGCCACAAGCCCGGGCGAAATTCCTAAACCCTAAACCCTAAACCCTAAACCCTAAACCCTAAATTCCAAACTGCGCGCCTCGCATCGCTGGCGGGAGAACTCGATTCCGCGGCAGCCGGCCGTGGCAGCGCATCGCATCTGACAGTCCTCCCGTTCACAATAGGGGTTGAGGGTTTAGGGTTTAGGGTTTAGGGTTTAGGGTTGCTCCTATCCACCTGATATGGGGGCCTTCATAATTAGAACAGGGTCTTGGGGGGTGAGTATACTATATTTATACAGGAACCATAAGGGAATACTATGAGTAATTCTGCCGACACCTATATTATGTTTACCCACGCCGCTAGAATCCAGCCATAGAGGAAGTTGAAATGGTTCTGCAAACTGGTACCCAAATTGGAACACCAGGGTTGGTCGGTTTCTTGCGATGTCAGTGCAGGTTCAGGGTCTTAGGGCGTTGTTGGGCGTCAGGGTTGAAAGTTGGGGAGCTCGCACAGCCCTAAACCCTAAACCCTAAACCCTAAACCCTAAACTCTAAACCTATTTGTGGTGTCGGTTTCGGGTTTAGGTTTTACGGCCTCCCTGAAAATCAGGTCCTCCAGCGACATCACACCTTGGGCGAGCTGGTAGTACCTTGGCATAAGCAGGTTGAGGGGCTTGATCTTCAGGCTTGAGAGGATTTAGAGTGGGGTTTAGGGACTTAGGTTGGGCTCCCTGAACCTCAACACCCCAACACGCAAACAAGCGCACAATCAAAAACTTGAGTAGCAGAAGAAGGAGGAACCTAAACCCCCAAACCCTAAACCCCTACATGCAAACCCTAAACCCTAAACCCTAAACCCTAAACCCTAAACCCTAAACCCTAAACCCGAAACCCCTAAACCCTAAACAGGAGGAGGGACTGAGGGTTGTTGTCGCCGCGGCTGCTGCCACGGCAGGCGCGGCCTTCGCCCCCATCCACGGGCTCCCAAGCGCCTTTGGGCTAAGGGTATAGGGTTTAGGGTTTAGGGCTTTAGGGCTTTAGGGGTCTGAGGGTTTATGGTTTTCGGGTTTTAGGGTTTGGGGTTTTAGGGTTGGGCTTTAGGAGTTTTAGGGTTCAGAGTTTCAAGCTTTAAGGTTTCAGGTTTGAAGGGGCGCCAGAAGCCTACTTGGAGGTAGGGTCCAAAGAGCCCATTTGTACCTGTAGATACTTAGACCCCGCAAAGGGTCATGTAGAGTACATACTTGATGGACCCACGGGTAATCTGAGGGTTTAGGGTTTAGGGTTTAGCTTGGGGTGGCTTAGGGTTTTGGCAAGGTTTAGGGCTTAGGGCGGTTTAAGGTTTAGGGCTTAGGGTGGTTCAGCGTTCAGAGTTTAGGTTGGTATGCTAGGTGCCTTTCTTAGCTTTGGGCGAGGGGAGGGGGGGCATGGCACCATCGTACTTCAGCTTATAGGGTTTGAGGCTTGCGGGGTTTGAGGATGTCTCCTGAAACCTTCGTGGTGCGCCCAACGCCCAGGAGCCAGCCCTAAACCCCACAGAACTCGACATGCAATTTCAGGTTTTCCCAGCCACCAGAGGCCAAAGTGACTGTCCAAAACAGGATTTAAGGTTAGGGTTTAGGGGTGAGGGGAACTGAACAATGTATACGGCCACGAAACAGGTCATACAGTACTTCGCATTGGGATTAGGGTGAGGCGTTTGAGACAAAGCACCCAAGGATGAGCTGGTAGTCGTCGTCGCCCGAGTCGTGGTGGTGGTGGTGGTGGTGGTGGCTGGCTGCGACGTCCCCGGAGAAGCTGGGTACACCTTGGGGCACGGCACCCCTAAGCCCTGGCCCAAAGCGTAAACTTCACCCGAACTGTCGAACCCAAATGTTCAACTCTTCCTTTGCGCTCGAAAAAATAAGCCATAACTTGAGAACTTTGAACCCAAACGCTCAAGAAGTCAATAACCCTAAGCCCTAAACCCTGAATCCTTGATTCTTACAACTGGAAGCAACCCCCAAGATCCAGAGAGCCCTGGGACTTGAGGTTCAGGGTTTAGGGTTTAGGGTTTAGGGTTTAGGGTTTAGGGTTTAGGGTTTAGGGTTTCGGGTTTGGGGGAATGGCGTGGGCTCTATTGTTCAGACGGGCCTCATTGGCATGGGAGGCTTAATTAGGGCTTGGGGATTTGAGGGAGGTGCTTAAGACGTCAATCGGGCAAAATCTTTCATCTCCAAGGCGAAAAAAGGCTGCTGATAGGGCCGTGCACTGACTGCGTTGAGCCAATCTCACCGATTGCCGCGTTGGCGAAGACGACGTAGCCCCGAGGATGCCTCAAAAGTCCCAAACAATGCAGTAGCGTTCAGGGTTGAAACTCTGCGGGTGGCCGATACCACACAGAAGCGTGCTATGTGCATGATATAGGGTTTAGGGTTTAGGGCTTAGGGTTTAGGGTTTAGGGTTCAGGGTTCAGGGTTCAGGGTTTAGGGGAGTAGCAGGGTTCCAGTCTAGTTCAAAAGATCCAGCTTGGGATACCAGCTTCCCGCTGCACTGCACGTGATGTAATCGAGCCTGAAGCCCCGTCGCAAGTACCCACATGCGCCAAAGTAGGTTTAGGGTTTAGGGTTTAGGGTTTAGGGTTTCGGGTTTCAGGGCTGCCAAATTCATGAGCCCCCACAGCTACACCGAACCAACCAGTTTAGGGGTTTAGGGTCTAGGGTTTGGGGTCTGGGGGGCTCGACTCGAAAATGCTAGGCCGTAGCCAGGGAAACCCAACATGCTTTTGTTGAAGAATGTACCTTGGACTATGCGGTCCACATAGTGAATGAATGAATGAATGAATGAATGAATGAACGAATGAACGAATGAACGAATGAACGAATGAACGAATGAACGAATGAACGAATGAGTGAGTGAGTGAATGAATGAATGAACGAATGAATGAATGAGTGAGTGAGTGAGTGAGTGAGTGAATGAATGGATGGATGAAAAAAAAAATATATATATATATATATGTATATATATATATACATATATATATATACATGGCAAGACTTTGTTGGACTTGGGCTCGAGGGTCGGTGACAAGACCTAAGCACCTCTAAACCTCTAAACACTCTCCCGTAACACACCAGAAACCGAAACCCCTGAGCCATTGAACTCGAAATCTTCTCTGCAGCTCGGATACTTGCTGCGCACGTTCCGAGGGGAGCTGTCCTCCCCACCCGGACCTTGACGGAAAGGAAGGTTCAGGGTGTTGGTTTCAATCAAACCCCGCATCTGTCAAGAAGACGTTCAACACGTCTTGGAGGGGCAAGGGCTCCCCCTGTACTCAAGAAAGCGGCAAGCAGTGAAGCAGTGAAGCAATGGCAAGCATTTGCCTAGCTGGTCCTAGCTGGCTAGTGAGGGTCGAAGCTGTTCAGTCATGGCTGCGGGTTCCCCAGTAACCTAGGAGAAAAAAGGGGGCACCCTTTTTGGTTTATACGGGTTTATATGGGATAAGAACCCAGTAAAAAGGGAATAAGGGTACTACTGGGCATCCTAGGCAAAGCGAAGCCTGTTTTGCTCACTTCCCCCCCTCTTTCTCTTCGAGGAGACCGGCGCGTGTTTATGCACTTTGCTCCTGTCCTATCTGAGGGTGTCGTATAATCAACATGCATGGGAGACGCGACCAGCAGGGCGCGAGCCTCAGGCGATGCTCACTTCCTATCTCCTTCGTCTCCTTCTCTTGGCCGCATATCTGCCCCATTCCTAGACTCAGGAGTAACCTAGGGAGAAGAGAAGGAGGTATCCTTTTTGGATTCAAGAGGTTTACAAGGGAACCCTAAACCCTAAACCCTAAACCCTAAACCCTAAACCCTAAACCCTAAACCCTAAACCCTAAACCCCAAAAATGCCTACTCTGGGTCCTAGATTCACATCCCAGGGCAAATGGGCGGTGGCAGCTGCAAGGCTGGGTCGCACCAGCCACCGACCTGCATCAGGAGTCGTTTAGGGTTTAGGGTTTAGGGTTTAGGCTTTAGGGTTTAGGGTTTTGCAGTCGGAGTGGAGCAAGGCCATACGGAATGTGCCGGAATATGCGAAACCCCCCCTTGGCCCCCGAATTCTTACAGCCGCTGCCCAGGATTTCCCATCCCACCTGATAGTTGCAGCCCTCACGGAGGGTCCACTTGGAATTCTCGCAGTAGGGAAGGCAGCATGTACCACACTTGCAGCAGGGCGCGTCGGGGTGATAGGCGCAGAACATGAAGGCTTGGTCCAGCAAGTTGATGGCTCCCGGTGGGGTGTCCCCACCTTGCTAGCCCAGCAACTACATCACAATAAGGGCACCCTTTTTGGGCTGGCTACTTTACAAGGGAACCTTGAACCAAAAAACAAAAAGTAAAAGGGTACCACTAAATTACCAAGCCACAGTTCGCCGGGCCACTGAGGACGCCGCTGTAGGACTTGCTCGCCTTGCGGTACTCTCCGGGCCCGCTCTGCAGCTCGCAGCCGCCGTCTGGCCAGAAGGAGAAGAACTGGCAGCCCTCCGTGACCCTGCAGTAGGACTGGCAATGCTGCCACCTGTCCACCTTGATCCGCAAGTCTGGGATGTTTGGGTAGTGGTACATCCCCTTGGTCACGCAACCTTTTGACTCATCCTCCTGCTTTGACTTGTGCTCGAGCAGGCTGCTGGTTTCCATATCGTCATCGCATCCATATCCACCACACCCGGCATCGACTTCCTGGCCATCCACCAAATGGGCCAAGGATGTGAAAGGCGCCAGGGTCAGAGCCAGGAGGATCAGCCGAAGCCCAGCCATTGCGATAGTCGATAGTGGAGCTTTGTGCTACGGACAAGATGAGCCAGAAAGTCCTCCCTCTACGGTCACAACACCATCACCAGCATTGAACAACGTCAGCAACCCCAAGCCCTAAACCCTCTTCAGGGTTTAGGGCTTGCCCCCCCCCCCCTCCGCCCCCCCTCCATAGACGATAGTTTTTTAAACGGGGGCTATTCCAAAAAAATTGGTTACCCCAGGCCCAAGAATCATCTGAACGTCACATGGCTGGCAATGACTGTTGCAAGGCCCCTGCTTGAGAGGCGGGATGACCAGGTGCCTTGCAGCCGAGGTGCACATCCCCCGGTGAACACCCGGCTCGCTGCATTCCCTGCCACAAGATCCGCATGTCGTGCCCTAAACCCTAAACCCTAAACCCGAAACCCTAGACCCGAAACCCTAAACGAAAAGGTGGGGCTGCATAAGTTCGATATCGTAGGCTATGGCTATCAGAAGTTGTGTGTTGCAGAACCATATCTGCAAGGGGGGGAAGCGAAGGGGGGGGGGGGGGGGGGGGGGGGGGGGAGGGTGGGGGGCGGGGGACTCTATGCAGTTGTAAATTGGCTAGGTATCTGGCCTGAGACATACATATGCACACATATTTTTTATCTATAATGAACAAATAAAAAATTAATATATATATATATATATATATTAAATAAACATAAATAAAAATATAATTATAAATATAAATATAAATACAAATATAAATATGAATATAAATATAAATATAAATATACATATATATATATATATCTACATATGTATATATATATATAATAATAATATTTCTTCCTATATCTGCTTGCTAAGCTTCCCGACTCGTTCAGTATAGCCTTGGAGCTGGGGGTGGCCGGGAAAGGTTTCAGCTTCGGGGATACCACGATTTTGGGGGCTCCCAAAACAAATTAGGGTTTAGGGTTTAGGGTTTAGGGTTTGGGGTTTGGGGTTTAGGGGCCATGCGGCAGATGGCGGCTCATTTCCAGGGCTCCTGGGTTTAGGGGTTAGGGGCTCAGGGCTTCAATGGCCTGAATGCCTGAAAGCTCCCCCCAAATGTGGTGCGAAGGAGCCGTCTTTCTTGCAACCTTGAGTCCTGAAGCCTAGATCAGCCCCTTTAAGGCACGATGGCGACCAACACTAAACCTTGTAAATCCTAAGGAACTGGTTGAGCCAATGATCTGCAGCTAGGGCTTAGGCGTTAAGACTTTAGGCGCAGGGTTTACAGGCTTCGGGCTTATGGTTACATGTCTTTAGGATGCCCGACAGGGCCAAAGTCCAAAGCCCACCCAAAGCCCTGCCATAACCCCAAAACCCTTATAACCCTGCTTACCCTAAAGGCTTGTCAGCCCTAAGACCCAAAACCCCTAAATCCTTTTTGGACCCCAAAGTCTAAACCCTAAACCCTACACCCGAAACCCCTAAAAACCACCCAACATGGAGATGGCCAACCGAGCAGCTGATCTTCGGGATAGCCTTGGGATGTGTTTAAGGTCTCAGGGGTTGAACGGTTTCGGGTTTAGGGTTCAGGGGTTGAAAGCTCAGAATTAGGGTTTCAAGGGTTTAAGAGTTGGGGTTGGCTTGGCGGATTTAGGCTTCCAATTCGGTCTTTAGGGTTTTCTGGCTGAGGCTTAAGCCCTGAGCCCTAAACCCTAAACCCTCAGCGCCGCCCTGCACACGCAATCCAGTCTAAGTTGCCCGAATGATCCTGATGAAGGTACACTTCTTGCGGTGTTCTTAGGGTTTAGGGGTTTAGGGGTTTAGGTTTAGGGTTTAGGGTTTAGGGTTTAGGGTTTAGGGTTTAGGGTTTAGGGTTTAGGGTTTAGGGTTTAGGGTTTAGGAAAAGCGGGTGCAGGTAGACTTCTCACATTCAGCTCAACAGCCCTAGGAAATCAACTAAAACTTTAGATCTGCTGATGCTTCCCTGGGGCTTAGGGTTTAGGGTTTAGGGTTTAGGGTATAGGGTTTAGGGTTTAGGGTTTAGGGTTTAGGGTTTAGGGTTTAGGGTTTAGGGTTTAGGGTTTACGGTTTGAGGGTAAAGGTTTAAGGATAAGGGTTAGGGTTTTCTGTAGGGTTTAGGGTTCTCTGGTGTGTTCTCTGGTGTAGGTACTGTACATCCCTGGCTCTTGACGACTGCTTCAGGCGAGGGTGGAAATACCTGAAACTCCTTTGGCATGAGCCAGGCCTACTAGAATAAGCCTACATCTCAAGGTGGGTATGTAAACCCGAAACCCGAAACCCTACTATCCCTAACCCTAAACCCTGAACCCTAAACCCTAACCCTATGTATGTTTGCTTTCAGTGCGCTTTGTTGCATAGGCAAGGCGACTAGTTGGTGTGGGATGCTTCTTCAGGTGCAAGTGTTGGGGAGCGCAAAGTTCGCAACTGGACCCCCAGCCTTAGGACACAAGGTTTAGGTTTTAGCGTTTAGGATGGCAGCACTCGCTCACATGACTCTACGTGATGCAGAAAGAAAGTACGCTCTCCGTCCCCTAGTCAGTTGAGCCACAGGAATCCAGCCACATCATGTGCACGTCAATGTCGTCCCAGAGAGAGAAAGCCTGCAGCGATTGCCAGGCCCTCTACCCTAACCCCTAAAACCTCCATTTATGCAGAGCGCCCAGAAGCCCCGACCATCAACTAAGGGCCGGTCTCTAAACCCTTAATCCTGAATGCTAGACCCTAGACCCCCAACCCTAAACCTTAGACCCTGAGGGCCGAACCCTTCAAGATACAAGAAAAGATCCGAAAATGCACCTTTGGCTCTCACACAACTTTCCTGGGTGTTTATTGGAACTAAAGAAAGGATAGGCACAGGGTTCATTCACAGAATTTCCACAACTAGAATCTGCAATTCAGGAACTGCACGCCCCATGGACGTTCCATACAATTTGCCTTGAAGGAACTGCAAAACCCACACCCTGAACCCCAAAAAAACCCAAAGAAGCCTCAACCCTAAACCCTAAACCCCAAACCCTAAACCCTAAACCCTAAACCCTAAACCCTAAACCCTCAACCCCAAAAAACACCAGACCGTGCCGGGCAGCAGCGACGTGGCCCCGCTCCAAGGACTCACCCATGGCCTGGCTTACTCAGAGGGCCCCACTCCAAGGGAGGCTTACTGTCGGGTTTAGGGTTTAGGGTTGGGGTTTAGGGTTTAGGGTTTAGGGTTTAGGGTTTAGGGTTTAGGGTTTAGGGTTTAGGGTTTAGGGTTTAGGGTTTAGGGTTTAGGGTTTAGGTTTAAGGGTTTAGGGTTTAGGGTTTAGGGTTTAGGGTTTAGGGTTTAGGGTTTAGGGTTTAGGGTTTAGGGTTTAGGGTGTAGGGTGTAGGGTTTAGGGATAGTTCTCCCTTTCTATCTATCTGAGAGATGGATACCTTGAGTACCTACCGCCTTGCGCCCAATTATAGCCCCCTAAACCCCGCGAACGAGCGTCACTGGCGGAGCTAGGGCCAAAACGGCATCCCCAAATCTTCCCCAGAACTTCAGGTCTTAGTTTCTTGGTGCTACAACTCTACACATTAAGGGAGAGGAAGGGAGAGGGAGGGAGAGGGAGGGAGAGGGAGGAAGAGGGACGGAGAGGGAGGGAGAGGGAGGATAGTTGGGGAGTGCGAGCAATGGACATCGTGATTTTCAAGCCACCCCAAACACTTCAACATGCTCTGGGTAAGCCCATGCAATTTTCACGTCTGGTGCCAAACACATGGGTTTGAAGTTTGAAGTCCTCGGAGGTTAGAGCTCCAGGATTTTTGCTTTGGAGGCTTTTCAGGGCCTTGTCCAGCTGGTTCTTAGTAGGGAATGAGGGTATGGGGAATCCCAGCACTATTTGTCCTTAAAAGAGTTTCCAACTTTTTGGGGTTCACCGTAAGAGCCAGGGCCTTGTTGCCACCTTTCTCCTGAAAGTCATTCTTGTTCCCGAAGAGGTCTTTGATGTCCTCCCACGTCAAGCTCAGCGGGATTTGGGCCCAAATGGTTTCTTGACTTAGGGTTTAGGGTTTAGGGTTTAGGGTTTAGGGTTTAGGGTTTAGGGTTTAGGGTTTAGGGTTTAGGGTTTAGGGTTTAGGGTTTAGGGTTTAGGGTTTAGGGTTTAGGGTTTAGGGTTTATAGGGGTTAGGGGTTAGGGTTTAGGGTTTAGGGTATCAGTGCTTGGGAGGGCCCCAAAACTCCAGAACCAATTTCTACCCCCTAATCCCGAAAGCCCTAAACCCTACCAAATAACTTCTAGAGTTTGCCCGTGACCCTAGCTTGGTAGCCCAGTGAATAAGGGCACCTTTCTTTGAGGTTGGTTACTTTATAAGGGAACCCATAACCAAAAAAGGGTAAAGGGCGCCACTGGGCTACCAAGCGAGACATAAACCAGGAAGCCGAAACCTCGTGGGCATTCCCGGCGCGAGCCGCGTAGGAGCCTCCAACCCCGGAAGCCCTGCAGGACTCTGTCGGGTATTGGGGGCCAACCCTAAACCCTAAACCCTTGGGCTTCAAATCCAGAAGGCAATGCAAGTTATCCCCGTCCCACCTTTGGTGGCTTGGAGGTTTGGAGGTTTCCGGGCTAGGGCTGAGGGAATGACTAGGGTCCCTGATGCTCCCCTGCTGCCATTGCAATGCGTTTCTCCTTGTTTCATTTTCTTTCTTGTTTTTTGAGCTTTGTTTTGGTCGGTTGGGGAGGCGCCATGCTAGCGGAGATGTCGGCCACTAGTCAATCTTAGGGGGAGGGGGTGCGGGGCTTAGCATGATGGGGATATTGTACCTTCACCCTATCAACCCCCCACCCCCCCCACCCAATATGCGGCCAACTCTAACCGTTCATTAGGCCTGACGCAGTTGCGGGTAGGGAGAAGTTAAGGTTCAGGGCTAATAGCGTCTAGCGTTGTAGAGGATAACGAATCCTTCACGCCCCGAGCCCGACAAGCTCGCACATCCAAGCTTCTTCAAACCGAGTCTGAGCATCGTGGTCTGGGTTTAGCAAGCTCTGAACACTGGAGCGCCT